AGCTGTGAAATGTTTCTTTCTGGGATATCCTCGGAAACAGAAGGGGTACCGGCTGCTAAATCTGGCAGCAGGAAAGGTTATCATTTCTCGGTCGGTAACATTTGAGGAAACAGCCGGGATTACCAGTTGCAAAAATGTTGCAGACACGCAACCGTGCCTAACAACAGGTGTGACGCATGTTATCGATGTGGTCCCATATGCTAAATTGACATCTTGCAGGGCTCGAACCGACAACCATGGTGACCAAGGTCAGCTGGTGGCTTATCCGGCTGAGCCACATGGCAAATCGGACGTTTTAATGGAGCGATCACAAGACAGTGCAATTGTGCCATGGACGCCACCATTGTCAATCTTACCGGTCTTAACGCAGCTATCATCAACACCTGGTTGTGATGGTGAAGATGAATTCAACATCCGGTCAGTCCGTAAGCGTCGTGAGGTGGTGCGTTACCAGGATGAATTCCAGCGCCCGTTTCAACTGGACGACGACGAAGCTACACACGCCGCGCTATTTTGTCTGGTCGCTGAAACAGCTGACGAGAGCGTTACAACATACAAAGAGATTCTACGCTCACCGAACTGCAGTCAGTGGCAGCAAGCAATGAAAGCAGAGATAAATTATCTGCGAAGCTACAGGACATGGCGGCTAGTGCAGCTACCGGCTGGCAAGAAACCTATTGGATACTGCTGGTTGTTCAAGGTAAAACGTAACGCGGACGGGACTGTCAATCGCTACGAGGCCCGGTAGATTGTACAAGGTTTCACGCAACGACCGGGTGTGGACTATCACGAGACCTTTGCACCCGTCGCACGCATGAACACGATCCGATGCATGCTTGCAGTGGCGGCGCAGCTAGATTATAAAATACATCAGTTTGATGTGGACACCGCGTTCCTTTATGGCCGCATGGATGAAGAAGTTTACATGCGTCAGCCAGATGGCTATGAAGACGTATCTGAACCAGGTCTGGTATGTTTGCTGCAACGCGCTTTGTATGGTACCAAACATGCCGCGCGGGCATGGTACGACACATTACGTGACCACTTTAACAAGCGAGTGTTCGAGTCCCTTAAGCCCGATCCATGTGTTTTCGTCAAGACTGTATCACGTGTTGGATTTTGCGCGGTGATTGCTTATGTGGACGATTC